TTATGACTACATTATGATACAATAAATGAGATAAATATGGGAGAGATATGATTTAAAAATGAGCCATATATGGCACATAAATGAGTCATTCATGACTCATTTTTTATCTCATTTTTCACGGCCTGGGTATACTTAAGTTTTTCTTAACTGCAGTCAAAATTAAGGCAAGGAGAGAATGATCCTAAATTCAATTTTCCTGTTGTTGTACGATAAAAGCATAAACTATAAACAGTGTGTCAATACAAATAATCTAAAACAAAGTTATAGTATTGAGTTATGTCACATAAACATGAGGAACATTAAGACGGGACAGATTCTTTTTCGAACCAAACAATCAGCAAGAATATATGGCGGATGATCAGATATTGGCACAATATCGTTTTTCAAACGCTCGCTGCCATTCGTGAAATGGCTTTTAAACCATTTCATACCACGTGCGAGAATTTCGCCACATTTTTCGAGAGAAAACCGCTTGCTATGGCAACCTATATCGAAAATGAAAATATTTGAGATTATCAGAACGATTTCAGAAACAGTCCTAGACATGGCCTGTCTGAGAATATGACTGAGGAACTGATGTTTCGTTTCATTTCAACAGGCTTTGATTGTCAAAGTTGACCGAACCGACGATTGGGACTGTCAGCGCTTCATCTGCCGCAAAAGAACGAAAACATATGGTTGCTTGAGTTCTTAGTAGACACTATCTAGTATTTATGATAACGCTGATTAATCTAAGTCATATGTCATTACCCAGGCCAAACACAACGATCCGTTAACGGCGTGTAAACGGCCCATTAACGGTCCTCATGAAAACGGCCTGTTAACGGCTTAAAAACACGCCGTTTACGGTCATCGTCAATTTACACGTCAATTTAAAATAGTCCCAAAAGCTACGTTATGAAAACGGTCGAAAAACGGCACTTAAACGGTCACCGTAACTGTCATTCCTAGTCGAGACTCCCGGCTAAAGTCCCGGGAAAAAGTTCCGCGAGAGTCCCGCGGGACTTTTTGATAAACTCCCGTGAGAGTCCCAGCAAAATCCCGAAAAATCTAACAAAATTGAAAAATGTCCCGCAAGAGACCCGGCAGGATCCCGTGACGTACACAGCAAATTCAGCTCTCTGTTCCCTTACCTAAATAGGACTCATCATTAATAGGACACTAGTCACAAAGTTACACTATCGGATTTTTGGACAAGTTTTCTTTTGAGACACATATCTTTCACGAATTAACAAAGCGCGTCACAAAGAAGAAAGAAAAACCACTTTTGATATAAAAGGGTCTCTTAAAAGGAATCTTTCTTAAGATACCGGAGACGCTGGCTTCATCATGTTTTATCCGGTTTTCTCTCCGGGAACATAATGCAATCAGGATCAATCATTCACCTCAGACTCACTTTGGAGTTGAGATTAAAACTTGCTGTGTGTGCGATGTTGCATTGGGCTTTGAGAAGGATTTTAGTGTCGCATCACGGCGTTACGAAAAAAGACCCTTTTATTTGAGCGCTCTTGGGAATTCTTTAATTTCCTGTGAAGTTAATTATGTGAAAAGGAAACTACTAGAGCAAAATTTATAGAGTAATTGACGGGCTATCCGATGGTAAAAAGAAATTTCTTCTAGCACTTTTCGCTAGGGAGAACGATGCAAAAAAGAAACGTCACGGCGTTACGTTTTCGTCTTGGTGTTACACGCTTTTTTGTCAAGCATATTTGAGGCACTTAACACGATAGTAAAGTTTTGATTTTCACAGCTACCTGTATTCTTTGTATATTCGATCGATCTGCGCAAAAATCAAGTTGCTGTATCAAAATAAGAGCTCAAAAACTGGACAGTAAGTCGGAAACTGTACAACCTGTACATAGCAAGTAAAGTCAAAAACAAATACACAATTTTGCAGAAAATTCAATTCTCTACAAAAGTATATTTTTAGAAATTTGTTTTAAGAAATGTTTTGGTTAAAACACTAAAAATCCAGTTTCTGAAAAGTTTAAAACCAGGCTTTTTGTAAACGTAACCCCGTGACGTTTGGACAAGTCGCATGGTGCTGTCTCCAATTTAGCCTTTCACGAAAGCTTACAATTTTTTCGCAAAAAAACTGCTGTAAACTATATATCATTCGATGCAGTTTTTCACGCTAATTCCGAATATAATATTATTGTTGAATAAATGTGTTTCCAAAAGGGGATCATCTGATTTTACCTAGAAAACCAACGAGTTCTCAAGAGCATTTATGCTAACAGCGTCGATATATCGTTGGTAGACGAATGTTCGGTGAAAATTTCATTGAACTTGGAGCTTCACCTACCTTTGCGCACCCACTGTACTGCGGTAAGCTTTTGGGAAAGTCTGGCAACTTTAGGTCTGAGATATACAATTGATACAATAATCACAAGAAATTTAGCCTCTCTATCAGACACTCCATTATCGTGCCTAGTACTGGTATAACAACAGCATCATTTTTCCAAAAAAGTAATAGTAACAATTCTAACAAAATTACTTTGTGTCTTCCCGTTGATGGTACATCGCTTGTCAGATCCTCCAAGCAACGTTTATGGCCTACTTTTGCCAGCATCGTCGATTTACCGCACTTCTTGAGAGAACAACAAAAGAATCTAATCGCCCTCGGTTTATGGAGTAAACAGCAAAAATCAAATATAGAAGTTTATCTACGTAAACTGGTTAGAGGAGTTTTACAGTTAATTGAAGATAATATAACAATATATATTGAAGATAAAGAATATTTAATTCATCTATGTACGCAATCTTCCGTCCAAGGTATTATTTAGGAATGTTGTGAATGGTTATTAAGCATGTACTTGCTGTCTTATGCAAGGTATGATTAAATTTTTTATTTTCTTAAGCTATTTTCTTCTGTCGACGATTATAGAAGGGAGTAAACACTTAACGAAGCTTTGCGAAGTTTAGCGACACGCCCGACATGAAGCTAGCAGTGTCGCGGACCGTTTTTGTTTTGAGTTTAGCAACTGACATAGCGTTCTAAAAACTTGGATTTGTTATCGACGAATTCTTCATTACAACCATGTTTTTCTAATGTTCTTCTTATAGGAGTATACAAAACAGAATTTTCTCAAGTGCTTTATCCTTATGACCAATACCAGTTTATTCTGCGCTCACATCAACAATCTTTAATCACAGCAGAAGAGGCATCAATAATTAACAAAGATGGTGGAAAACATGCCGTGACAGTTGAAGGTGTTAAAGGATTACCAAAATTATTAGAAATTATTGAACATCCGACACAAGTTGTGTATGATTATATGCATCTTGTCTGTTTAGGAGTTGCGTAATGACATTCAATATAAATAACATAGCACGTCTCTTGAATTAGAATGTGCTCTCAAAACCCTTTTTGACGATTATGAGATCTGTCTCATATTGGTAAACAAACCAACAGTAAAAAACTACGATATTTCCTGACAAAATTTGATATCAAAATGTATACAAAGCTGAGTCTAAGTGTAGATCATATGGTTAATAAGTGCAAAAGAATTTCTCTGACTAATAAAAATAACGATGATAAGTATATAAAGACAAGAGAATCTTCAGTGTACGGTTTATCATGTAAATGTGATGATTCATGCACAGGGGAAATAGATCCTATCTCAGAATAAAAATTTTTTCCGAAAAATACGCTTTCCTTCTCAAGATTTACGAAAAATGCTGAAAGTTAGTGAAAGAAACTAAAAGAATTCGACTATTTTTGTGTGATTCTCAGCATTTTTCGTAAATCTTGAGAAGGAAAGCGTATTTTTTGGAAAAAATTTTTATTCTGAGGTAGGATCTGAATCATCTGTGGTAAAAATTTAAACTCGATCGGACCATTTTTTCGAGAGATCATAATGTGACTGGATGAAAACTGAGATTTCCAGAAAATCTATATAAGAACACGTCAGAAAATTCTCGGCAAAAATATATCGATTTACTTTTTCGATGTTCCACCTCTGCTATAAATTAGAACTCAAACTGGACCTGTGCTTCACATTTGGCGACAGAGTGAAAAAAGAGGAAGGCACCCTTAGTCATTGATGTACAGTGTGGACGAGTCCATTGATGCTTATTATATGATTAATTGATAACAGAATAAACACGTTCTAATTTTTCTCCTTCCAAACACATTTCTTTCATTACACTTTCACCAAACTTTATCGAGCAACCGGCATTAGAAGTGATATGTTGCTAATTCAGAATTCTTAATATCAATCTTTTTGATTTTAGTTTTGTGTTGTTTTATTCTTTTTGAAAGGATCCTATTTCCCCTGTGCATGAATCATCACATTTACATGATAAACCGTACACTGAAGATTCTCTTGTCTTTATATACTTATCATCGTTATTTTTATTAGTCAGAGAAATTCGCTCACTCTCATTATTTCCTATCTGAGTTCGTTTAATCATATCCATTAGCAATATTTTTCTTTTTAGTATAAAGATTATGGTCAGATCCATAATTTAGTATATCTGTAACTGTATCAAATAATGATTATTCACCACATAACTTCACTCAGATTTCATGTCGTTCACGAAAATCTCGGTGTATCACAATTATCCACACAAATTCGATGAAGACATTAGCGAATTAATCAAATCAAAGTAAATTTACTAGTATTTTTCTTCTTTTACTGGTTTTCCAGCACGATTTAGACAACAACACTTATAGTTTTTCCTCTTCTCTGTTTCTCTCTTTTCTCTAATCCGTAACCATTCAATCCATTTATTCTGGTTTAGATTCATTGAAGAACATCAGTGATTGAGAAAAGTTCAATAGGCTTATAAGCATGTTCAAACATCCTGCATTGAGGACATTTCTAGAAAAATTAAAAACAGAGAAAAGTTCTCTTCAACTGGATTTGGCAGCTGTAAATGCCGACCAAGAAGCAAAAGTTCAACAGAAACGTTATGCAGATAATAATAAACGTTTAATGAATCTAATTAAATATCGTTATCCCAATATAGAGCAACTAATAGCTGCTATAGCTCGTAATATCCATTTGTAAATTTTATGTTTCAAATAAAAGAGTTTCACTGATAGATAACTGAGATAGATTCAGTTGTCTTGTTGGTATTTATCTGTAGTTGAAGTATTTTTTAGGTGTTTCTCTGGTTCTATCAAGGGGGAAAAAGCGGACTCCTGAAGTTCAGAAGCCCAAGAGCAAAGTGTTCTTTTTTGGGAATCACTTCTCAAAAAAATGACCACTTTTGTTCTTTTTTGGGAAGTGATTCTCAAAAAAGAACACTTTGCTCCTGGACTTCTGGACTTCAGGAGTCCATGGGAGTGCAGGAGTCCGTAGGAGTCCAGGAGTCCGCTTTTTCCCCTTGGGTTCTATACACTGCAAATAACATTGACAATTTCTGTTTGGAAAATTCGAGGACGTTTCCATTCGATGGAATTTCGTTCGAGCAAATTTCTCCCAATCCATTTCTAAGTATTTCACGCCAATCGTACTTCGCCAATCGAAACATTATTTAGACATAAAAATGTTTTCTCAAATACATCTACGTCTGGTTGTGCTAGAAATTTCCGACTTATACCCAGGTGTATAAGAAATTTAACTTCCTCTACTCAATAATTTACTATACAAGAGGCAAATACTTATCTTTTGCTTTGTCGCTCTTATACAAAACCAAACAAAAATAGTCTTTTTTGTCATTTCGATCGGGTTATTGTGTATTGATTCTAACGTAAAAAATTGCTGTTATATCAATCATCACGGATATAGGCATGTGCAACTGAAAATAAATCCTGGAAAATTTCAAAATGTTAAACAAGATTATTTCATATTTCAGTCTGATGAATGTCATCGAAAACAATGTTTACACACAGTACCCAGGTCCAAGAAAACGGCACCGTTAACGGCCCGTTAACTGGTCGTTAACGGTAAGTTAACGTGCCGTACACGGACCGTTTTCAGTTCCTAAACGGACCGTTTTCAGAACCTAAAACTCGTAACGTTTTAGGAACTTAAATAGATCGTTTTTTCACCGTTTATCG